GTGGTACCCAGAGACAGGAAAAGGGGCAACAGGCACCAACTGCAACACTGCCCAGAGAGGCTGTGGAGTCTCCTGCTCTGGAGAGATTCCAAACCTGCCTGGATGTGATCCTGGGCACCCTGCTGTGGGTGACCTGCTGGAGCAGGGGGGTTGGATGGGATGATCTCCAGAGGTCCCTTCCCCACACTGGGATTCTGTGATACACAGAACAGGACAGAATCCAATGGACTGGGACAGAGGCAGAGCCTCACAATCCTTTGTGATCTGCTCCCAGCAACAAGGAGCAAGCAGCTCGTTGTGGCAGCATCATGCTCACACTCCTCACTCTCACCTTCAGTGACAACAAATAACACTTAATTTCTCTGCACCTTCCCAGTTCTACCCACTTGGATACTGAAACACAAGCAGGAGGAGATGGCTTCACACTCAGGGAGCACAGCTACTGCATGTGCTTTGCATGGGTCCAGGACTGCCCCCTGGGTGTCTGGGAGGTGCCACATAGTTCAGTGGTCAGCTTGTGCACCCTGTCAGAGGAGAGAGAGCAGGGCACCAGGTTGGGGAGATCCAGGACCTGCACCCCTCTCTGCCCTCAGAGGGAAGAACCATTTGATACTAAGGGTTTTGTGCTGAGGTTAGCTCACTGCCTGGCTCTTGTGACCTCAGAGAAGGCATGTCATCCTCTGCATCTTGGGCTTTTCCCCCTCTGCACAGCAAAGGAGAGCCCATTCCTACCTCGGAGCATGCAAAAGGTGACTTATCACCAGCAAGGTCCTTCGAGATATTCCCACAGCTCACACACTCAAATCACCACCTCCCCAGGCCTCCTCATGGTCCCCTGTGCAGCCATCCCCAAACCCCCCATAGGTGTGTCTTCAGGGGACTACCAGTAAACAGACATGGGCAGGAGGGGAAGAAAACTGCACCAGAGAGAGGAACATTGAGAAAGGGACTGAGGAGCTCCCAGACCTACAAAGCATCACAGCAGCAACACAGCCACCACCCCAGGAGTGATGCAGCACCCTGCCCAGCCCAGCCCATCCCACAGTGAAAGCCCAGCCCCTCATCCTTCCCCAGCCATCCCCAGCACTGCTGTAGGCATGCTACAAACACATTCAAAACACCTTTTTTACTTTTGCATCCTGCATTTTATATGCTTACAACGACCTCCCCAAGCCAAACCAGCCCCTGTGTGGGTCTGACCTCCCAGGTAAGCCCCAGAGATGGTCTAGGTGGTGTTAAACCAGGCACAGGACTGCCTGTCCCCACCTGAGGATGTCACCCTTCAGCTGAGGCATCCCACCTCAGCTCCTAACCCTGAAACCATAGCAGGGACCCTTCTGCCCATCACAGGCTGGAGGATGCAGCACTCCCCACGCAGGACCACCTCAGGCAGTGATGCTCAGCTCATCCAGGGGACCTTCTAAGCCAGGGCCACCACCATGATGGCCCTGCCATCAGGTTGCAGGTAGAGCAACAGCACTACCCCAGGTCCCCCATGCAGCACAGGCACGGACACAGCCTGGCTACAGCAACCCCAACTGAGACCTAAAAAGCACTTTGCACCACAGTCACATCATTCCTCCTGCCCCCTATCCCCTTTGGAGCTTCTTAACTTCAGAAACCTTCCTCCAGAGGAGCGTCGGAGCGACAGAAAACATTTTCCAAGCTTAATATCAGTTCCAGATGTTCACAGCCATTTCAGCTCCTACCTCACCCTGTAAAACACATTTCTCCCTCTCCCTCTCTCCAGCGCAGCGCCTGCTTCGGCCATGACATCACGCGCTGGCCGCGCACATGGGCCCTCTCCAGCAGCCCCCTGCTCCAACAAAGAGCATCACTCCACTACAAAGCTGTCGCACACATAGAGTTATGAGCCATTTCCACCAGTTTTAATCAACAGTTTGGGATGTAATTGCTCTCTGCCTTCTCAGCCAGCTCCTGAGCCCAGCGCCGCTCGCTCCCCGCGCGCTGGTGTTGAAAGCGTGGTGTGTCTGCGCACGAGTTCACCTCCTGCTGGCCTCAGATGGTCCAAGGGATGTGTTTTTCTAAGCATCAGCAACAAGCCTCTTGAAAAAGCCCCTACAGACGTGGGCAGCCAACCCATGGGAGCTCCCAGCCCCATCCCACAGCATCACCATCCAGCAGGGAGCAGAGGGCACCAGCCTCGAAACTCCCTCCTGACTCTTCTCCAAGAAAAAGAGGAGCAAATATTTTCTGGCTGAAGGGAAAGGCCACATCTTCCAGTTGCAAAGCAAGGGAGAAACCAGGGAGTGTTGCAAGGGTGAGAGACCAGAGGCTTTTGAGGGGCAGAAGGAAGGGAGGTTAGGCAGGGGTCAGGTGCCATCCAGCTGTTGGCACAACTCTAGCTCCAGCCAACACCAGGAATCTCAAGAAGAAATGGCCACAACTGCAACAAACCAAACACAACTCCATACAAGCACAAATAACTCACACATTTAAACTTGAGAGATCCAAGGGATGGACAACAGTAGCCTCAAGAGCTCTCAAACCTTGCAGGATCCCTTCAGCCCAGCACTGCCACGCTCCGAGACCAATGGGGGAAGGAAGACCTGCCAAAAGCCACCCACTGCCCCCCAAAGCTTTCCTCTTCTGGGGCTGGCAATGTTTTCATGGATGCAGCCCAGATGTGACAGAGATCTGCAGCACGACGGGTGGGGGATAGTGGTAGCTGGCTACTCATGGTGGGATTTTTGGCTGGGTGCAGCACAGGACCAAGCAGAGCCTTTGAGAGCTGGAGCAGTCAGCAGCTCTGCAAAACCTGCCCAAGGTATTTGCAAGAATCAAGCCATCTGGCCTTAGGGGCCTGCAGGGTAAGAAAAGAATGAAGGCAGGAATGTTGTTTGGTTATAAACTACCTGGAAAAAAGAGAGAGACTTAGGATTGGCTTTTCTCTTTAATTATTAATGAGGTCATTCTGTCCCAAACAGTCCCCTAGAGCAGGGAGAGGGGAGGGCAAGCCCCCACCATGAATTCAATCGCCTGTCAAACACATGGCAGTCATAAAAGGAAAATAATAATAATAATCTGTATTTCCTACTCTGGCTGCCAGGCAAAGATCCAGCCACTTCAAAGGAGAAACCCCACGTTCCCCCAGTCTGGCCTCACCTGACCGATGTGTGAGCAATCTGGAATCCCCATCCAAAACAAAACCCCTCCTTTGGTGGCTTGTTTTCTTTCTCTGTTACTGGAGGGTGCCCCTCCAAGATAAAGAGCAAGCCTTCATCCACGTTGGGAAACCACACACAGAACCCAGGGGCTATGGCCATATCAGGCAGCTCTGCAAGTGGATGCTAGCAAGGTGTAGGAGACAGCTCCTGTGGGACAGGACTGGTGTATGAGCCAGAAACCAGAGCTCCTTCTCACAGGGGTCTCCACAAACAGCTGGGACCCCCCAGGATGTGGGGCTCTGGCTCTCTCCAGCAGGAAAAGTCCAGCTCTTGTAGCACAGAAATTGTGGATATGGCAGTAAGGCAGGCTGAAAAAGCAGAATAAATAGGCCCAAGATGAACAGAGAGGGTGAAAACTTCCCCGTGGCTGTGAGCTGGAGCAGTTGGCTCTGTGGCAGCTCACAGCAGCAAAGAGCTTAGCTCTGAGGGTCTTACAAAATTAGTGAGAAGGAAAAAGCCACCACAAGCTGGAAAAGCTTCCAACCAGGACCTGAGGACTGTCTGTGTGCATCTCCTGATTTTGCTCTGGATGATCTTCCAGAGATTGCCTTCCCAACAGGGAAACACAGACAGAGTTCTTGCCAGGATGTCTGGGAAGCCCCTACAAGAGCCCAGTGTGGTTCCCCCCCCCCACAGCACCAGCCCTGTCCCCACCTTCACCCTGGTTCCTTGTCCTTACAGACAGAGGTCTTGCCAGGATGTCTGGGAAGCCCCTGCAAGAGCCCAGTGTGGTTCCCCCCCCACAGCACCAGCCCTGCCCCCACCTTCACCCTGGTTCCTTGTCCTGGCAGGCAGCCCACACATGCACATCTTGCATAAGCTGATCAGGCTCCATCTTAAAACAAAAGAGGTTTTAAATCATTCAAAGCAGTGGCAGTTGCAGAACTTTGCTCCAATGACAGGTGGAAACCTCCCTTCCATGTTCCCTTACCTACAAGGGGCTGAAATAAGGTACTGCCAACACATGGGGGAAGGAGCCTTCACACAACAGTAAATCTCTGCTTCAGTCAACAACACTGGCTGCCCCTGGCACGTCACATGAGCTTCTTGAACAAACTACATCCAAAACCCTCAAGCAAAAAGCAGTGGGAGGTTTTGCTTGGTTTTCCATGGAGCAAAAACATCACTCAAAGTCTCAAGTGCTATTTTCTGAAATACATCATTGATTCACCCAAATCAAACCCCATTCTTCACACCACTCCACCTTGCCCAGCAGCTGCTGGAGCATGGCTTGAATTGCTGACAAAGCCTTTGCAAAGTACAGAGCACTCAGTTGAAGCCTCAGCTGGGAACCAAACCAACCCAGGGAAGTTTCAGTCTTGTGGAGAAGTTTTGTGCTGCTTAAATGATCTCCTTAAATATTGAAGGCTCTGAGTTACTTCAATAGTAACTCAAGGCAAGGCAACTTAAAGTGTCCTTTCAAAGGCTGGCATGCAATGCAGTACTCACTGGAACAAACCAATAAAGCCTTTGAGTTGTTGAGGGCTGACCTTCCTCCCACACCCACCATCCTGTAGCATTTCAGAGTGATCTGATCAAACAGTCACTTCAGTCACAAACTCCAACTCGGAGCTCTCCTACCCAAAAAGAGCAAATCATTTCCTCCTTCCACACTGCAGGTTTGTATTTCCCTTTCTTCTCAAACACCCACATCTGCAGAAGCCTTTAGAAAGGTGCACAAACCTCATGTAACACCTCAGCTCTATGCACCATTCTCCATAGGATCAGCAGCTCCCAGACAGGCAGGGCACAGGATGTGTCACCACGCACGCCGTGTGCCCAGAGGAGCTTGCCCTCAGCAGCTGCACCCACCTGTGTAGAGGTCTGTGTCCGTGTACTCATCCACCTTCTTGTGGTGCAGGACGTAGTCAGACACCTTTGTCCCAATGGCAGGCTGCACATCCAGCCACTCCAGAGAGACCACAGTGCTGGAGGGCTCCACGTTGGGGGAGAGCCGCAGGCTGGGCAGGAGACAGAAGGGAAACCAAGTAAGACACCAGGTCCCTTTCTGGGGAGAAATCCACCCCTGCAAACAGCACAACCCCAGGCAGGGCTCACACTCACACACAGGGATGTGCACACTGACCCACAAGGATATGAGGCACAAGGGGAGAGCAGGTAGGTGAGCATGGAAGGCCTTCTAGTTGAAGGTCAGGTAGGTCCAGCCTACTGCAATATGTGTTCTTACCTCCTGGAAAAGCCCAGGTCATGCAACCCCAAATGTCCCATCTAAAGGGACCTTCAACTCCCAAGAGAGGTGCCCAAATTCAGCAGCCCCTCAGGGAACCAAGGGACTGCTGTTCAGAAGCAACAAAGAAGGAGAGGATCCAGCTTAACCTCTATCCTACCCAGCAGGGTTAAGCCTACAGGAGGGGAGGGTCTGGTTTACACCACCAATGAGCAGAAGCGAGGGAGGGCGGGCAGGAAAAAAGGGGCAGGTGTGGCTGGGAATTTACCCAGCTGCACATGAGCAAGGGTGTGAAGTGTGAGCAACAGCCAAAGCAGGGCAGCTGGGCAGGAGCTCCTGGCAGGACTGTGTGGGTAGGGGTGAAGGCCGAGCAGCTCTGTGCTCCTGCTCCCTTTGCACTGGGGTAAATGCCAACACGAAGGACAGGGCTAGTGAGAGGCCAGCTCCAAACATATGGGTGTGTTTGCTGGACTCAGGATGGGAAATGAATCCCCCTCTGAGGATATTGGCTCACTAGGAAGGTGTCCTGCTCCTCGTGGCTCACTGGAGCCAGTCTTCCTGCTTTCCCAGCTAATTTCCCCATCAGTTTGCTCCTGATTTGCTCTTGCTCTGACAAGCCACAATGAATTGCACCCTAATTCCATTTCTTTCAGCATTTGAAATCCCATTCTACAAGCCCTGCTAATCAGGTGATGAAAATCTATAAGGAAACCTTCCAGGGCCACAGCTGGAGCCAGGATATCCTAAAGGCATCAGTCACACAGCGAGGAGCGCTGGCTCGAGGCTGAGAGGAAGGAGGTGCCCGTGGGCTGAGCCAGGGGGAAAGGGACTGGTGTTGGGGGGGTCGGGAGGGGCTCCTAAGAGGCTGGTGCCAGGGGGGTCGGGAGGGGCTCCCATCCATACGTACACAGGGGGAGGGAGAGGGCTGCAGTTCGGGAGTCCGTTCTCGTCGAAGGCGTTGAGGTCACACCTGCACCAGTCTTCGATAACGTCGCCTTTCCCCGAGCACCAGTACGAGCTCATCAGGGCCCCCTTGAAAGCCTGAGGAGAGGACAAAGAGCGTGAGCACGTGTGCCAAAGGCTGGGAGAAATCTGGCCAGCGTCACGTGGTGCTGGAGCCTCAGGGGTGGGTGTGTGCAGAGCCCAGAGGGGGTGAGTCCAGGGGGGTCTCCTCAGCCCTGGTGAGCTCCTTCACCTCCAGTGCGATGCTGGGTCATCCCTGGGGGCTGCTTTTGGTGGGATGGGAAGTGTCAGCACCATCCTGCAGAGGGGATGTCTTGTGATGGGACAGAGCTGCCTGAGGAAACTCAAACATAAGCCTGCTGGTGACACTGGCCACCACACACAGGGGACCTTTATGCTGCTGCTGCACAAAACTCTTCCGCCTGCCCAGCCCATAGCTGTTTCTGTTCCTCTTGGGAATAAAGTAATTCCTCCTTCCCCAGCAACACAGACCCCTTTCATCCTTCTCATAGGTTTGTTATCACATGAGCTGCCCTCCTGCAAGCAAACTGTTGCTTAGTTCACCTGCACAAGAATATTCACAAGCAAAATGGCTGTATCTAGAAGAAGGAAAAAAACCCAAAACTGTAAAATATTTTTAGGTTGTTCCCCAGCCAAGCAGTCTCCTCCCTGCAGGCTGTCCCCAGCCCAACCAGGAGCCCTCTTGACTGCTCCTAATGACGCCAATGGATCCCCAGAATAAAAACTGTTTATCTAAAGCTGTTCATCTGCTGGGCTCTGAAGGTGAAACTCTTTGAATTCCAAAAGCCCTCCAGGTCTAACCCTGCTGGTGTCTCTCCTGTGCTCATCCCGCAGCTCAGCCCACACTGCAGGCCAGGACGCTCCTTGCTCCATACCCTGCTGTAGCTCAGGAGTGTAAATCCTGCCTGGATTTATGGTCGTTTCTCTCCCTGCCCTTTCCCTGTGGTGCCTTATTAAACCTCCAGCTTGTACAACATCTGCGTGCACGCACAGGGCCAACGTTCACCCCGACCCTGGGAAACCACAACACCCTGCTAGAATAATCGTAACGCCAAAACTTCCTCTGCTCTAATAAACCTCTCTGCGATACTTTTGACCTTTCCAAAGGCACATTTTGGGGTTGAAAGGCCTTCGACGGGTCCTCATCCAAACCCACCCATCCCGAGCCGCCTGCGGATGCCTGGTCCCCGCGATAGCGCCCGCGCTGCCAGCTACGCCTTCGAGATAAACCCCTGCCCTTTGAGGAGGACAGGGATGGCTCGGCAGCACTGAGCCCAGAGCTCTAGGAAAAGCGCCGTCCTGGGGAGGTTTCTGAAAAGCTGAGGTATAAATAGAGCCTGACGTCAGGGCTCCCATTGTCCGGGGCTTTGTCGCTCTCCCCAAACACCCCGAGCACCTTTATTGAGGCGCCTCGAGGTTCTCGCGTCTGAATTATTTTCTGCTTCCAGGCATTTATGAAATGGGGCAGTTCCAGAGCAGAGGGGAAGAGGAAAAAAAGGAAAGAAAAAATATGTGAAAGAGAGAAAATGTGGCGTTATTTTACTTTGTTCTTTAGAAGGTAATTGAAGTGCTGGGCTGGAAAGGGCATCGCAAAGGAATTGGGGAGCAGGGAAGACAGGGAGGAGTTTATCTGACACGTGGGTAAAGGGGTGCAGACACAATTCCACAGGGAGCAGTGGGCCTGTGCAGGGCAGAAACAGAAAAGGGTGCCCAGAGTGGATGGGGACGTGTGCTCTCCCTGGGAAGCAGGAGAAACCCTGGGTGTGGGTCCCCGTGTGCACTGTGGGCAGACGTTGGGGATCCCTGGAAGAGCTGCAGTGTCACACTGCCAGCACCGCTCTGCTGTCCCCTGTCCCCAGCCCTCTAACCCAGCTCCTCCCTGCACATCCCCAACCCAGGGAAGAAAACCCTCCCAGCCCATCCATGACTTTTAGCCCAATCCAACAGTCAAGCCCTTCCCTCTTTTCTTTTTTCCCTGGTAAGCACAAGGCTGGATGAGCAATCCCCTTTGCTCTGCCTGCCCGGCCTCGCACACGTTTTAATTAGATCCTGCAGGTACCCAGCCACCATCTGCCTTGTGTCAGCCTCCCCACAAACGAGGTTAGCTCAGTGATGGGTCCTTCGACCTGCTGATTATGGCCAGTGCACCTACACCCACTAACAGGGTCACTGCCCCGGTGCTGCTGCTGCCTCCCTCCCGGTGCCAGAGCCTGGCTGATGTCAGGGCCAGGGCAGCCAGGATTTGTTTCCCCTCCCTTTCCAGGGGGATTTCAAACCAACAGTTTCCAGGATTTTCCCATCGGTGCCAGGGAATGTGCTGGAGGGAGGGGAGTGGGGAGAGCGAACTGATGGGGGGAGATGGGTAAGATCGGGCAGGAGGATGGGATGAAGTTTCCTGCACAAAGATGCTCACAGGCACTTTAGGAGGCTCCACACCTTCTGTGGGGCCACCAGCCTCCTCCGTGGGGACGTGCAGTTGCTCTATAGAAACTTCAGAGCAACCAGAAGGTCTCTGTGAGTTTTGAGGGCCCCCTGGTCCTCCCAGCCCTGAAGTCAGGTACCGCTTTTGCTGGACTTCACACACAGCTCCCTCTTCCTTCCCTCACCTCCACCAGCCCACTCCAGCAGTGGCAGAAGCTCTCAGGCCCTGGCAGAGATCAGCAGCTCCAGACACCTTCCCCTCTAATAGCTTTCACCAGCCCAGCCCCAAAGGCACGCTGCAGTCATCTGCTCCCCTACAGATGGCAGCCACACAGAAAGCTCTCCTACCCCTTCTCCTTCTGACAGCATAGCCCAGGAGGTACAGGCTGCTCACACAAACCTAGGGGAACGTCAGCTGCCACCCAAAACAGGAGCTCCAAGGCACAGGAAGACCAAAGGTGATGGACAAAGGATTCACAAAGGTGGTCAGACTCATCCCGTGGGCAGCTGCAGCCTTTGGGAGAGCTGCAGGTGGGAATGAACAGGGACCTTGCTGGTCTGTAGTGGCTGAGGACTCTCTTCTTCTGCCTTGGCATGGCCACGTCCACATCTCCTGCCCTTCCCTGCTGCCATGCTCAGAAACATGCAGCAAATGTTCTCCATCCTGCCAGGAGACAGTTCTTGTAACAAGAAGAACATCTCCAACACAACCACCTCCAACACAACCACCTCCCACACCACC